TCGCCACAATGCCAGCGTTTACATGACGCCTGGCGACGCCAATAGTATAGAAGCGCATGCGCCAACAACGATGCCAATACTCCCAAATACGCCACCACGCACACCACAAATCAATGCGCCGATGCGTGGTAAAATTATCGGCGAGGCAGGACTGTCCGCGCTGCCAACAGCGGCGCCCATACCGGCTTTCGCACCAGGCACCGACATAATCGGTAGTATGTTGGGCGATTTCGGCATCTGGCAGCTGCGCTCGGTGCTGATACTCTTTTTGTGCAAATTACCCGCCTCCTGGTTTATGGCCTGTATTATCTACACAGCGCCGGAAATTAAGCCGAACACGCAGTACTACTGTGACTCAACTCAGCTGAGCGCAAATCAGACGATATCAGAGGATCAGTGCTATTTAGAGGACTCTAGTGCCAGTGTGGCGCGAAAGCCATGCACGCGTTTCGACTACGACGACAACTTCTATTCGCTCATCATCCAATACAATTTGGTTTGCCTGCGTGAAATTTTTGTTGCGTGGACGCAATATTGGCATCTGTTTGGTGTGCTGGTGGGTGGCGTCTTAGGCACCAAAGCTATGCTGAAGTAAGTGGTGCAGTGGTAGGGAAGACGCCTAGCGCAGAAACTAACATAGTCTCCATTTCTTTGCAACCCTTTCAGACTCAGCCCGCGCACGGTATACATTATCGGCGCCGTACTGCAGATCATTTTGGGCGTCACTACCGGCTATTCAATAGATCTATCAATGCATTGCCTTTTTCGTTGCCTCGCAGCTGTCGGTTGCGCGCTAATGTTCACCTCGGCGCAAGCGATATGTAAGTAAAAGTTTGTGCGAACTTCAAAAGAGTGCGTATGTCAACATTTCCCTGCCAATTTCTTCCACAGTTGTCGACATCACTGGCGGCCGCTATCGCACTGGTGTCATCATACTCTACGACACTTTCTGGTCGTTGGGCGTAATACTATTGCCGGGCATTTCGTCTTTCTTCAAAAGTTGGAACGAACTCTACTTGGGCATTACATTCCCCACCATTGTGCTATTGTTCCTGCTGCAATGGACACCAGAGTCACCGCGTTGGCTGTTGAAGAATGGCAACGACCACGATGTCTATCGCGTGGAGCGCATGCTACGCAAGGCTGTGACATCAACGAACGCACATTCCTGATGCCGGATGACTTTCGGCAGCAGTTGACGAAGTTACGCAATACATTGCGTTCACAGAAGCCACCGGCTACATGGCTACAGCTGTGGCGCGGTCCACGTAGTACACATTACATGTTGGCGGCGCACATAGCACTTGCTTGCTATATTGTCAACTACATGGGCATGTTGTTGAATTTGCGCTCATTCGGCCGTGACTATCGGGTGCCGAACACTATTGCGATGGGTAAGTGTAAAAGCTGTAGCGAAAGTTTGCTCGAAAGTTGATTTCTAAGTTTGGCAATCTTTTGCATTTAATTTGCAGGTGTCGCTGAAATCATTGGCTGTTTTGTAGCGCTACACTTCGTCATGAAGTTCGGTAAGAGGAAGTTTATGTACGCCGGTTGTTTCAATATAATCGCGGGACTTGTGGGTTGCCTCGGTTGGACGTTTACGCGCGCCAATTGTAAGTATACGAAAGCTAACTAACAAGCTTCACAAAATAAGCTCTAAAAATAAGAAACAAATGCATCTATACTTTAGATCGGGCTCGGGCTCAATCCAAGGAAAAAGGTTATAAGTACCACCAAAGGATTAAAGCTTACTTTGGGATAATCCGGCCAAATAAAAATTTGCGTCATTTCCAAGCTTTTTGACACGACTTTAGGTTAGGTAAGAGCGCCAGCTCTGTAGGTAAAGGCACACTTAGACATAGATTTAAGCTGTTCATTGTGGTGCTCTTAAGAGGAGGAGGATAAAGATACAGGACCGTGAGAAGGATAATGGAGGGTGTTAAGGCACAAAGGAAGGACGCGTAGGGATTCTTATAAGAAAACACTCAGTGCCCAACACGAAGCTCCTCCTTGCGGGGTATCTCCACTCACAAATCACTGTTACGATTCCACGTAGTGGTAGATTATTTAAAAGGTATTTTTGAGGACTATAGATCCTTTTGAAAAGTGCAAGTGATGAACAATTTTATGACGCCAAAATCCTTTCACAGTAAGCTTTAAAACTAGGGGATAAACTACAAACTTTTTTTCGTAAACCACTCTTCGGTTTCTCCATTACATGCCCTTCTCTCTTTCCCTACCTTTTCATCAATTTTTTTCTTTCTCTATTTCTAGTGAATCCACACCTCAAAGTCGCTCTATGGATGATAATCGCCCTTGTGCCCAAAATGAGCGTCTCTTGTGCTCAATCTATGATGCAGGGTTGCATGGCCGAGGTAATGCCACCGAATAAGAAGCAACCATTTGCCTTCTCTGTCGTCACATGGGCACGCATTTGGCTGCTAAGCGCTCCGTTCATCAATCTGCTAAGGAAGAGCGATACAGCTCTCTCGCTTACCGCATTCGCTGTGCTCACACTAATCGGTGGCATCTGTACTTGCTTGTTGCAGCCTCCGAAGGAAAGCAACAAAGCTAATCTTGCCATGGCTGGAGTTGATGAGAATGATGAATCAAATAAAAAAGAANTACTTGCTTGTTGCAGCCTCCGAAGGAAAGCAACAAAGCTAATCTTGCCATGGCTGGAGTTGATGAGAATGATGAATCAAATAAAAAAGAACGGTCACCACTAACCGCCACTGTTTGGACGGTGGAAGGGGATAGAAATAATTCGCGGATATGAGTCGATTGTAGATACTATAAACATATGTATTTGTATGTATGAAGTTGTATTATATGAATTTAGAGAGTAGTTAGTTTTTAGCGCGTGCCATTGGAAACAAAGTCCTCCCCCTTTAGTCCTTAGTGTAATCTATGTATAGTAGTTTATAATGCACATGTTAAAATTGTTATAAATGTTATCGTTACTTATTACAGTTATAATTTAGTAATTGGCTCAACGGAAAATGAATAGAAAATAATTCTGCGATTAGCTGCGCCATGTTAACCTTCATTTCACTCGATTGCGTTTCGAGCAGAGCCTTTGGATTTCTAACCCGTTTATAATTTTCAAAACTTCTATTAACAATTCATACTGAAGTTTGAATTGCATTGACCTGTGTTTACTCGCATTATGAAAAAGACGAATCTAACAGTATCATTCCTTAGTAAGCATTCACATGTAAGTACATAAATTTAAACTAAGACAATTAATTAAGTAATCACATAAAAATTTATAAGCACACAAATACAAGCATTTGTTAACACGAACTCGGAATGACTTCAATTACAACTTCGCCCGATGAAAGCTTTAAAAATAAGTATTTGAAGCAGGTGGCAGGTTTTGGGTTAGATAATTGAAATGGGTAAGGCAGATACATGGGCCAAGGTGGCCGCTTTGTTTGGAAAAGGTATAAATTTAAACTAGGAAAACCGAAAACCAAGAAAATCTTCTGGAGTTCCAGGGTCTACATGGTCTTATGTGCCTCCTGGACACTGAGCTGCTCTAGCAGAGTATCTAAAAAACGATTACTACAATTCACAGATGGTTATTCGAAACTACCACTGGCGGCACGAAACCGCAAGCGCATGCTGGTGGTGAAAGTCCACTTGTTTTAATTTCTACTAAAATTTTGGGGGCGGCCGCTGTGGTGTAGTGGTAAGCAGTGCGCGCTTCCACACCGCAGCGCCTGGGTTCAAGCCCTTGTCAAAGCAACATCGCGAAAAAATTTAGAAAAAAGGTTTTTTCTTAACAGCGGTCGCCCATCGGCAAGCAATGGTATATGTTATCCTATTCCAATTAAACACGGTTATAAATTGATGGAGCTAGGAAGACATAATTCTGAAATATTGTGAAAATCTGTAAACTGCCACGTCCACCAGCAATCCGAATTTTGTATTTTAATTGACAAGGACTAGTAGTTGTAGCCAAAATAGCAAAAATTTTATACAAGGTCTACTTTTGCATAAAACACACAGGAAAATTAAAAAAAAAAACAGTTTGGATTGGGGACCGGCACATTTAGTACTTTTTGCCACATTTTCACTACACTCACTGCTTGGTGTTTCTACTTGGCTTCAATTCGCCGGCGAATCTTTTGAAGTCAACCAAAATCCTCTCGACACTTCTGGCTATCACCTCAACTAGTTCAGAAAAGAAAAACATAAACAGCTAACTCCAATCATATTTTTATGGTGATTTCGTTTTTACCAAAAAATTTGGCATTTTGATTGCCCCTTTCTCTTTTCGTGTTCGATTCTAAAATAAAGGCAAACGGTGGGAAAATTTTGTGTACGTTTCTCAAAATGTCACATTCTTTTAAGGCAAAAAAGGCACATACATACTCTGCCCATTGAAGCTTTGTTAGGGGAGATGGTTGCCCTGAAAATCAGATAATATTATGAAATGCGTGAACTAGACAAAGACAAGAAGGCAAAAAGCCTGCCATTTTACAGGGTTGAGTGTGACATCAAACACATTTTGCACCGGAGAAGGGCAACATTTTTGCGAAGAAACGAACTCACCATTACATACGTGCTCTAAGCCACTGTAGCACTTTAGCAATAAACAAATCCATAATCGAATGCCGTAATGTTTTGCCGCCAACAAACAGTCAACAGGTTATGCATAGAATGCCGGTTGCATCACTCAAAACGTTGCCTGCCTGGTACACATATTTTTCTAAAAGCTGCATATAAATTAAAAGCAAAACTATAATTTACCAAAACCAAACTCAGAAAAATTTAAAGAGAAAGAGAGAAAGACCAAAAGAAATACAGTGAAAACTCGATATAACGAACGCTGATGAAACTTAAAACGCAATATAACAACACTTTTCCTTAGTCCTCTGAAAGAAATTCATTGCTGGGAAATTTGCCATACAAAAATGTTTCAAAGATATAACGAAGAAAGCCTGAAAACCATCGGAACGGTTAAAGTACCGTTAGCAAAAGAATACTTAACGATGTGTCGACTCAAAAGCCTCGGCATAACAAATTCTGAATATGTTGACGGTTAGAGCAACGCTTTTTTTCAAAATTTTACATTTTTCGTTGCATCGAGCTTTTTATATTTCATACATACATAAATATCACGAAACCAATAAGGCAATTCTGGCAACTGGTTTTCACCTCACCACAGTTTTTTTGATAGACCAAAGCCTTTCGTAGGACAATTTTTAGTTCTGGTAACCATCTTGAAATCTCTTTTCTGTCTTTCGAAAGACTAATTGAAAGATCTGCTAACGACGAAATATTAAATTAAATAAAAAAATAGTTTTTTTCTTTTAAAACCATAAAACTAAAATATATATAAAATAAATTAAAATAAAATAAGTTCATAAAAATTAAACTAAATTAGAAATTATTTTTATTTTTAAATATCTAATAACATTTAAAAATTAAAAAAAAATATTTATAAAAAAATAACACGTTGTAAAAATTTAATAACAAATTTTTTTTAATGAAAAAAATTAGAAAAGGAAAAACGTTAAATTAAAAAAAATTAAAAATAAATTTAAAAAATTAATAGTGATTAAAAAATCTTAAGAGAATAAAAAATAAAAATAAAAGAAAATTAAATTAAAAAACAAAAAAAAAA